TATATATATATATATATATTTTATATATATGTATATATATAGTATATTATGCGCCGTTAAAATAAATAAGATTAGCAGCACCGATTAGAATTTCTTTCCACCCTTCGATCAACTGTTACTCTATCGGGAGCATCTTGTGGTTCTTTCCCATGAGTTTTTTCCAATATTGCTTCAGCTAATTCACTAAATGCACGATCGATATTAATGTTTGCTTTTGCAGATGTTTCCATAAATCTGATTCCATGCTCTCTTGCTATCTAAAGGAGAATGTCAATTTATTAGTATATATTTTCTTTATAACTTACGTAACAATTTAAATTGTTGATATTTTACCGCTTCTCCTCTTTCTGTACTAACAACACGTTTGTCTTCCATATCACTTTTGTTTCCCAGTATCATTTTTTCCACATCTTCATTTGCATGCTAAGATTAATTAAAATTAAAAAATAAATGATGATTATAATTGACTATATTTACATATAATAGAAAAGCTCACAGTCATACTTACTTCATCAATATTTCTTAACCATTTAACAATATTTTCAAACGTTTTCTCATTAGTAATATCATAAACAAGCATAATACCCATTGCACCTCTATAATATGATGTAGTAATGGTATGAAATCTTTCCTGACCAGCTGTATCCCTGCAAATACATAGATTAAGGGCTGTTTAGAAAAATTTAATATTCCATAACTTACCATATTTGTAACTTGATTTTCTTTCCTCTTAATTCCACTGTCTTGATTTTGAAATCGATACCTACGTGACAGAAAGGATATTGTTCATTTATCTAACATACTCTGCAATATATTAACATCTATTTACACAAAACAATCAACGAAAACAATAATGTTGTTTCGAATATTACTCAAGAGACGTAAATTTTTTTATATATTTAACGCATTAAGCAATCACACTTTGATAGTCAGTTATTTATCGTTCATCAACTTAAATTCATAGTATTATTATTTCGTTTCAGTAGCATAACCTACTACGCCGAAAAAGAATACGCAATAACAGACGATTTGACCGAGGAAACAAACGAACGGCAATTATTTCGACAGTTTCTCTTACCTATTGTAGAAATAAACGTCGTTGAAAAAGCATCGTCCGAAAATCTGAACAGTATACAAGTTTTGCCAACTCCAGAATCACCGATCAGCAGCAACTTGAACAACAGATCGTACGTCTTTTTCGCCATTTCACTGTTGCTCCGCGTTAACGAGACGCCGAAGAAAACAAAGAAGATTCGAACCTGTGGAGCACGACTAATAGTTTTCCAGACGATGTTTCGAACATCGAACGCTATGAACGATTATAGGTTTCAAGGTCGGACGAGGGCGCGTCTCAACGTACAACGGTGCCTTGTTAACGACGGAAAAACCGGTCACAGGGGCTGACTATTAAAAGACAATACGACGTCACACAACAGACGAGCACGCAGAAGCATCGGGGTAACTTTGCACTTTCCGTCCGACCACAAGACTGAACGGAGCTGCTGATTATCAAGCGACCAACGATTCTTAACACGACCGTTTCTTCATCGTAATTAGCGTAATCGCAAAACTCTGCCGGGTTCAATTGCGAATATTCCATCTACCACGGGAGGTCACCACTACTGCAAGAATAATTTTAAATTGCCCGGATACTAACGGGATACACATGTACGAAGTTATTACCGGACTATGGTTGTTTGTGTAAATTCATGTTCCTCTGAACGCGATCAAACAAGTGGAACCATGAAAACGATGATTTCTTACGTTTTCGAAATATTATTTTTCTACCTCTAAGTAGAAAATAATGCCTCACTTTGGACATAGTATGTACATATTTTCCATGCTATGAATATTCCGCACACTCTCGTATTATAAAAGTACAAATATCTGCAATTTAGATATTTCATTGATTTCGCATTAAGGAAGTTTTTATACACGTTTGTATTCTTCCGTTACTTTCGATGCGTATCACGATACATTATGCATATTTTATCATGCAGTGTATTTTTTTTATTCAACGAACATACTTTAACTTTACAATTACTTTCAAGTACTTTCGTACTGGAAAAATTCATGATTGATAAAGTATGTTTGCTCGTTTTGTTGCAATCTTTTTAATATTTAGATGTGGCGGGAAGATATGTCGATGAATGCTATGTATGTAAAGGATAATAGTGGCATTGAGCAAAGATAAAATAGATTTCACATTTGGCCCTTTTCAGTGTATCAGTTTTGAGGGTCACCCTGCACTCTAATCATTATCGTGTCACACGCAAACTTATCGATTTAGTAGAATAGTGGTTTAAATTAAAAATAAATTTTCTTACGAAGTTATAAGTAAGATGTAGAATGGAAGAATCTATTATAATGGAGTAATAATTTCTGAATAAAATCCATACAAAAAATTTCATAGATTGAAAAAACATATACATTGACTTCAATTTACAGAAATATGATCATATTTTTTTTAGATTTATAAATATAATATGTTACTTTATTATTCGCTTCATATAATTTCTTTATAATTTCGAACGAAGGAAGTTATATCTTGCATTATTTTAATTACGATAATTAATCCATCCACAAAAATTACTATTGTTACATACTGTACATACATTTTGAAAACAAATGAATTAAAATGGATAAAGGAATAAATGAAACTGTGAAAGATTATAAATTAATCCTATTAATTAGTTTTTCTCGCAAATATCAAATCATGGACATTGCAGAATCGTATTGATAACAGTAGATAAAAATTATCGAACTGTATGTACAGTGAAATAATTTGATGAAATAATTTGAAACTTTAAAAAAGAAACGAAATAATCAAGTGATCGATAAAGCAGAAATTATATAAGTCGGTAAGCCACAGTTATGTGCTGCCATCTATTGCTGAATTGGGTATATTTTATTTCTAATCTTACACAATAGATGGCGGTACATCAAATGTTTTTGTAGCGACATCTATTGCTATTCAATTGTCTTATCAAAAGTTGCCATGGAGATATCAACAAATTATTGGTTACCAAGTTACAAACAAATTGCCAAGAATACATATAATAGTTAAGAAATTAATAAACAGTCATTTATTATTCATTCGTTATATTCTGTATTATGTAAATGTTAAAATAAAGTATAAAATTTCCTTTCTAGAATAATGACTTTATCACTTATCGATCATCGTACCTACATTTTCGTCTCGCTCTCAAAAAAAAAAACAAAAACATAATTCCATGATTGGACTACATTTTCGTTTGTAAACAAAAAAAAAAAAAACTAATTAACTGTATTAATTTACAAACTTTCAAAACTTTCTCCCGAATTAAACCCTCAGCTTTCTTCCAATATTCTATTTAACCTATAAAATACATTTATAAAGATTTGCAAATTGAAGTACTTGCCCAAATATTTAATTTCTGTGCAACTATTCGAAATTTGAGTCAAAATTGTTTGTGAACGCACATTAGAATTAATGGAGGTTATAAAACAATAAAACTGTAATATTGTAAAATTTTAACCAAATAAATGTAAGAAAATATACAAATTCTTGTATTCTCTACGCTTTACACTTTATATATTTACGCAGTCCGACCGTGTAGCTCGTTCGATTCGCTCTGTATTCACTTTGAATAGAATTGAATTTGCCTGCACTTCCGATTGTCCTTTATAATCCACAGATAGTGGTTCTTGTTCCTTCTAGGAATCTCGAAGGTTCTGGAACGTCGACGGATCCTGTTTACTTATTTTATGATTGATTTTCAACATGGGTTCCATAGTACTGCCGACTTTCTTTACATAAAACCTAAAAATTATTGATTGCTGTAATAGAAAGAGTGTTTTTGGAAGTATTGACAAAGACTACTACCTGCTGTGCATCACTAACTTTACCTGAAGGTTAAGCAGCTAAAAAGATCATTATAAGTTGAAACTTCATCGTGTGCACATCGATTGAACTTTCGAAGTGAATTTTTAAATATTATTTCTGAATATTTTAATTTTAATTTAAACATTATCTAACATTTCTAATAATTTACTTGTAACAATTAAACAATAAATTCTCTTCTGTAATGTTTCTAAGTGTTATTTAAAATTTTCAACTAATAATTTATAACAATCTTGAATAATATATTTAAGAGAAATGACTTTGAATTATTGAATGAAATAATTAATTTTTTAATCGTAATGTAAACCTCGTGAAAATTATTAAATAATGTCTTGAAATATTGTAGAAATAAAATAATCTAATTGTTTCAAATGAATTGTTCAAACTGTAAAATAACGCATTTCGATGATATTTTCGTATATTATTTAATAATTTTAACTATTTACTTATAACAATTAAATCAGTGATTGAGTTCCAAAACATTATTTCATAGTTTGAATAATTCATTTGTAATAATTAAATTATTTTGTTTATAATAATGGAAAAGACAGTTACATGATATACAAATATCTTGTTCTCTGAAACAATAAACGAGCGAAAGTTTTTATATGTTGCGCGATTATTCTAAAGCGACAATCACGGCTTAATTCAATTTTTGATTAACACCTTTCTTTACATAAAATTCTATTTAATATACATTGATACAGTTATAATTTAAAAATTAACATCACGAAGATGTAAAATTAGTTTTAGCCAATAAAAAATTAATAAATTATTACATTTATCATTGTAACATATTCATGAAAGTATAACTCACACTTTGTGATAAAAATGTAAAAACTATTAAATTATTGATTAGTATAACAGAAAAACTGTTTTTCGAAATTAAAATTAAAAAAAATTATCAATTGTCCCGGATCATTGACGACCATAACATTAGATTAACCTTGAGAGGTAGGGAGGCTCATTACCAATTAAACTTCCGTCGTGTTTTAGAAATTTGAAAAAAAATTATCAATTGTACCGGATCACTGACAACCGAAACAAAAGATTAATCTTGAGCGGTACGGAGACTCATTGTCAATTAAACTTCTGACATGTACACAAAGATTAAATTTTAGATGTTTGGAAAAAAGTTATCAACTGTTCCGGATCACTGACGACCTATATATTAACCTTGAGTGGTATGGAGACTCATTACCAATTGAACTTCCATCGTGTGCACATCGATCCAGCGGAGCACCGAGGACATCGTGGGATGCGTGCGTCTTAACTTTAAGTTGCGTGCGCCTTATAATCAATCTATGAACTACGCTAAT